GATGAGCCTAGGGGAAGGGAAGAAAAACTAAAATAAGGTAAAAACAGAGAGGGAGGCAAACCATAAGAGACCCTTAACTCTAGGGAACAGAGTTCTGAGGGTTTCTGGAAGGGAGGCGGGTGGGGGGATGGGATAACTGGGTGATGGGCATTAAGGAGGACACGTGATGACATGAGCACTCAGTGTTATGTGCAACCGATGAATCACTAAATTCTACCCTTGAAACGAATAACACAGGATATGTGAACTAAACTGAATTTAGATAAAATTGTTTTTTAAAGAAGAAAAGGATGTGTACACACCTGCTGTTGAATGGAGTGCTCTGTAGGTGTCAGTTAGTTCGAGTTCATGGACACGGCTGTTGAGGTCTTCTCCACCCTTGCGAATTTTCTGTCTAGTCCATCTGTCAGTTATTGAGACGGAGTACTAAAGCCTCCAGATATCACCGCTGAATGCTCTAGTTCTGCCATCAATTTTGTCAAGTTCTGTTGTATGTATTTTGAGGCTCTGTACTTATGTGCATCTAAGTTGACAATTGTGATGTCTCCTATATCGGTGGAGCCCTTTGTCATGGTAAAATGTCCAGTTCCGTCTCTGGGAACACTTTCTGCCTTAAAGGTCTACTTTGTCTGTTGTGATCATGGCCAGGACAGCGCACGCTGGCTGCTGAACTCTCAGTAGACCATCCTCGGGCCTTTCTCCCTCGGCGGGTTTATGGCGCTATCGGAAGTACCTCCCCTGCCCAAAGCATACCGTTGAATCCCCCGGGTCTCACACCAGGTTGAGGCTCTCTGTACCTCGCGGTTAATGCATTCAAACTGGGGGTAAATTTACAGATGATGTTTTGCCATGAGTTTTATACATTTCTCGTGTCTTTTTGCGCCTCTGTTTCTCCGGGACTACCACCTTTTGTGTCAGATAGATGTGTTCTCATATGCCCTTTGATTCCTTTGTTCCGGGGCCCCACCCCCTGAGGCCGCAGAGCTTCCAGGGTGGCCCTTCGCTCCCTAGCAAGACCCAGCATGTGCCCTGTGCCGATAGATGCTACAGAGAACGCTCGCCGCCAAAGCCACAGGTGCCCCTCCCAGTGGAGGCCCTGATCTTCTCCCCGTAACCTCGCTGGGGATATGCCAAGCCTGATAAGGGAGAGAAGAAATTATACGCCGAGGGAGTGGCAAGAAATAGCCGGTCTGTACTGGCAGGAGCAGGGGAACTATCCCTGGGATTGGATCTTGAGGGTGCTGGATCAAGAGGACAGCAAAGGGAAGACTGGATAAGCAGGTTTTACTGAGTGGGGGGCACGTTCTCGTCCCCCGGGATTTCCCGTGCTGGCAGGGACTCCGGGAGACGAGTAAATTCACCACCAGAGTGGCCCTTCAAGCCTTTAAGGAAGTGATGGCCCACAGGGAGGGAAGCGAGAGTCCCTGCCTTGGACCAGCAGGTGGCAGAGGAAGGAACAAGGGGGTTGAGTGAGGCAGGCATGCTGGAACGGATAGAAGCCGTGAGGCCAGGCACATGGCCAGATGGTTATGCTCCATGGGAGGGCCGAGAGGACACACCATGCACCAAAGCCATCGGGGGTGTTCTGGTGAGAGGGGGCCCCAGCATCGCCAAGAAGCTCAGCGACTGCTCCCCTCTGCAGGCCGATGCAGATGACGGAAGGAAAGTGGTCCTGGCCTGGGCCCAGTCCCATCCATGGGAACGATGGAATTCTGACCTAACAGAGGGCAGGGGTGGCTCTTGATCAAGGGACTCCAGGAGACCAGGTCTCCAGTAACACCCAGCAAGGTCAGAGGGGCAGTCAAGAGTCCTTGACTTGGGGCACCTGGGTGGCTCAGATGGTTGAGCATCTGCCTTCGGCTCGGGTCATGATCCTGGGGTCCTGGGATCGAGCCCCACATCGGGCTCCTGGCTCAGCGGGGAGCCTGCTTCTCCCTCTCCCTCTCTCTCCCCCCTCCCCAGCTCATGCACTCTCTCTCTGTATCTCTGTCAAATGAATAAATTCCCCCAAAAAATCTTTAAAAAATTTTAAAAAAAAGAGAGAGAGAGAGACTGCTTGACAGGCACGAAGCTGAGAGGATGCTTCCGACAGCCTGGCTCCCTCGGGGCAATGACAGCCAGAAAAAGGCAAGAGAAAAGAGGGTGGTCGTCCCAGAAGGAGTCACGATTTATTGCTCAGTTCCCGGTCCGGAGCCGATTTTGAGACCGGTCCCACTGGCTGAGGAGGTGGGGGAGTCCTGAGGAGGAAGGGTCTGGAAACCAGGCGGTGAGTATATATACTGTTTATGATGCCACTGTCCTTCTCTCCAGAAAAGGACTGCCCTTTCTCAGGTGACGGTGCCCTGGGGAAAGAGGAATACCCAGACGTGTCTAGGACTATTGGACACAGGGTCTGAGGTGACATTGATTCTGGAGCCCCAAAGTGTCACTGCGGGGCCTGGTTAGACTGGGGCTTAGGAGACCCTGGTAAATAAAAGGAAGTGGGGATAGAGATCCAGTCATGGACCAAGGCAGGGGTCACTTCTCCAGTCCAGGGGTTGACAACTGATACACGTGGCAGTTGGGGCAAAACCCCCCACATTGGGCCATTGGTCTGTGGGGTAAGAAGCTGTCATGGTGGGGGAGGCCAAGTGGATCCTCTGACACTGGTCCCCACCGCAGACCGAACAGGCGAGTCAAAACCAATATGGGGTCCTGGCGAGGCTGAAGGGGGAGAGTTAGCAGAGATTATGGACATCGGTGGCGACCTATAGGATGCAACCAAAGAGGAGGTGGGAGAGCCCCAGGGATGACGAGAGTGGGGAAGGTGTGAAAAGGCTTTAGGATTCTGTCTGTGGGGGAGAGGGACAAGGAGGCCTCCGCTGGATCCATCGGCAATGTTTCCTAGGAGGGTGGTGGGTAGAGGAGATTCTGCTCTATCCTCCGTGATCCATTTTAGCATGTCTGAAATAGCACACCATGACCTGAAGAGTCAATGGGAGAAGTGGGAGAGGGCGTTTTTCACACACAGGCAGGGATAGTGGGGGGGGCACGCCTGAGGAGGAGGCTTATCGCAGACTTAGAGTGTGTCCAGTCTCCCCTGCTCTGTAACCTTCTCCAGCACGACAGGCTTCTCAGGCGCAGACCCGGTGACACTGGGCCTTGGAGCTCACGCAGGCAAGGAGTGTTCGGGCACCCCAGGCCTCTCTTGGGGATCAGCCAGAGTAGGATGCAGGAAGGAGAGGCGAGGGGCAGACAGAGGAGCATGAATGGGAAAGGGAGGACGGAAAAGTACGGAAGGAAGGGAGGGCCCTTCGAGGAGGGGCTGGGTGGCAAGCAAGGGAAATTCTAACACGCCAGGACCTCCCAGAAGCCAAGGGAGGGAGGGACCACTGCCCAGATATCAGGACTGCTCAGCTCAGAGAAGCTGGGGACGGGTAGTTTCAGGAAAATCTGAGAGACAACTGGCGCCCCACCCCCACCGCCCCCACCACTGTTAGGCCTACTTAGCTGGGCCTTGCTCCAGACCTCTCGACATACTTGTACATAGACCTCTACCTATTCTCCGTATAGGAGTGGTTCTTGTTTTCTCTTCATTTCATTTCATTATTTACAAATGCGTGTCCAGCTCCACTGACCTCCAAATTGCTCTATTCAGTCGCGAGGATGCTTTGAAATCTGTGAACGTGGCCTCTCGCGTTCCTTTTGACTGCCGCCTTCCAAGTCTTCGGGATGCACACACTTCCCGTCGCTTGCATTCATTTCCTCACTGATGGGGATTTAGAGTGTTCCCAGTTTTTCTCATCACCAGCGTACTAGTGCACGTGTCCTTCCTCATCCACTACCTGAACGAGCGAGTCTCCAGGAGAAGTAGCCGGCAGCAGATTTGCTGGGTGGTGGAGGGAATGTGCGTCTTCTCTGCTTTAAGGTTTTCCGCTCAAAGCGAGGACTCGGGAGCCAAACTGCGTGCTTTTGATCCTGCCAGGGATCCCAGCAATCCTAATGACCTTGGGCGAGTGACCGAACCTCTCAGTGCCCGTTTCCTCCCCTGTAAGAGGGCGGGAATAGTGGGTACCTCGACCCGTTGTGGATGCGTGACTAGTCAACTACAACGCTTACATGACGGCCGGGCACGTAGCACCTATTGTGTAAGTTGCTTTGCATTGATTCTGCCAAATACCCTCCCAAAGGGCTGTTCCTCGCCGCCGCCGCCGTGCCCCTTCTGCCGCCTCCCCCCCACCCCCAGCCCCAGCAGTGGGCAAAAGCACCCATTTGCTCACAACCGCTCCCGCCCTTGGAATGGTTCAGGTGTTTGATCGTCGAAAGTCTGGTGTGTGAACACCGATTCGAGGTTTTAGTTCGCACCTCCGGGATTAGCGATGGTGAGCGACTTTTGGTATGTGCACTGGCCACGGGGATTCCCTCCTTTTTGAATTGCCTCGGAGAGGACGAGGGGCCGGGAGGAGGGGGGCAAAGCCCAGCCCGTGTGCCAAACCCGCCTGCCAGTAAAGTTCCCTGGGCACAGAGCCACGGACCAATCTGATCGCCCAACGCGGTCGAGGGGTTGCGACAGAGACCCAAAGGCACGTAAATATGACAACGTTTGCTCTCGGACCCTTCGCGGGGAACGTATGCCACCCGTCCCCCGATGGCTGACCGCGGGCTTCCCGTGCCCGCTTTCCCATCGGGTCCTAAGTGCCGCGGTGGAACAAAAGCCGGCGAATCCTCTGTGCGCTAGGTGCCTCCCCTCCGTCCCGACCTGTCGTCCCCACGACCCCAGAGACAGGTGTCGGCACACCGGGCTCAGCGGATGGGGAAGACAGAGGCTCAGAGCCGTGACTCCAGGTGGAAAGCAGGTTCTGGCCCGGGGGCGGCAGGACCAGAACAGCCGGACCAACGCCCGGACTCGCGGACACCCAGCCCCCGACCGGCTCCAAGGCGTACCAAAGGACCTCGACCCTATTGGTTAGGGCCTCGAGGGGCGGGCCAACAAGGGGCGGGCCAAGGAGAGGCGCGGACCAATGAAGAGGCCACGGCGCAGGCGTCAGAAGCGCGCACAAAGCCGCGCGTTGTTTGAGGCCATCTCGTGCGGCGCCGGTGGTGACCGCCTGCGTCGCCAGGAGGCCTCGCGGCTCCCGTCGCACGTCGCGCGTCAATCGCCTCGCGCCTCTCCCCTCTCCCCTCTCGCCTGTCGCGCCAGGACAAGGGCGATCGGCTCCCTCGAACCCGGGCTGCGCGGCGTGGCCGGCATGAGCGCTCCGGATGAGGTGTCTGCCTGGCGAGTGGGTCTGGGCCCGGAGGGCGGGGGGCAGGCCAGCGTCCGCCCCGCCGGCCGCCGGGCCCCGGAACGAGGTCTGGATCTGGGGCGGCCGCGCAGCGGCGAGGGCGAGGGCGAGGGCGGGTTCCCAGACGCCGAGGGCTTCGAGTCCGAGCGGGAAGTGATGGAAGCGGGAGGGCCCGTGCCGTGGGGCCGCGAAGGCCGCCCCGGCTCCCCGGCCGACGACAAGGGGGACGCCCTGGACTACGCGTCCCACCTCGCTGACGAGTCCGCGGCGGACACGGAGCAGCAGCTGACAGACCGCGATGCCCGGGGCCTGCGGAGAAACCCGTCCCCGCAGAGCGGCGCCGTGGAGGCGTCGGGCGGTTGGGCCGGCCTCGAGGCAGGGCCCAGGGTGCGAGGCGCGCTCGCCCTGGGCCGCGTGGAGTCGCGGCCGCCTTCCGCCGCCCCGCTGCACGTCGGTGGGCCCGAGGGGGGCTGGGCCTGGGGGAACCCGAAAAGAGGCGCCAAGGGCAGGTCGACCGTCCGGGTGGATCGCCAGCGGCCCCCGGCCACCGAAGGCCCCGGCGGGCTGCCCTCCGACCCCGAGTCCTCAGATGAGTTCAGCGAGATACAGCTGATGAGGGTGAGCATCTACTCCAAAGAAGGCGGCCCAGCCAAGCTCAGCAGCCCCGAGGATCCCGGGGACACAGCCAGACACGCGAATTTCCACGTCAGGGAGAAGTTCCTTCACGTGCGGGGCCCTTTCCTGACCTCCGCTGCCCGAGGATTCACTTCGGTTGTGGAGAGGCAGGCCGTTGGAGAGCTGGACGTCTCCTCCTCTAAGAAAATGCCAAGTGTGGCCTGGGGGAAGGGGGAGAGCAGGCCCAGCTACCAGGGAGCTGCTGCTGTTGCTGCCGCTGCAGGTGGCCCGCCCCAGGCCACCTCGAGGAGTAAGGCGGCCCAGGAGAAGAAATGCCTAGGGGGGGCCTCAAAAGTGGCCCCGGGCAAAAGCTTCCCTTCCTGGGGACAGAGAGCCTCGGCTGCTCCCCTGGAACCAGCCACCTTCCCCCCAATCTCCGGTGTCCCGCTGCTTGGGAGGTCCGAGAGGTATTCCTTGGTCCCTTTGGGACCCAAACAGTCCAAGCACGCGGGCGCCGCCGGCAAGAAATCTGTGGCCAGGAGGACACGGGAGGCAGAGGTGGCGGCCGCTGCTGGAGAAGGCAGTGACTCCAACAGGGACGCGGTCCTCCCAAAGGGCCAAGTGAGTAGGCCATGCTCCTCCTCTCTGGGTGCCCTTCCCCTCCCCCTCTGCCCACTTCTTTACCCATGCTCCCTCTGTCCCTACTTCAGGGGTTGCCGTGGCTGCCCCTGGGTCACTGGGAGCACGGGCATGCCAGATCGCGTCGTGGGTCGTTTTCGCAGGGGCAGACGTTAACCTAGGGTAGCAGTGCGTGTGTGCCCGCCACCATTCCGGACCCTTGGCCCGTTTCCTGCCTCCTTCCCCCAGGGAGGGGCCGGGATGACGGGAGGGCTGGTAGCTGATTTCCAAGCTTGGTCCACGAACTCTCAAGTCTTTAGACGCCTGGGCTTTGTCAGTGCCCTGCTCTTCTCCCTGGCTCAGCTCTGCCTCCTGGCCCGGGGCTGACTGAGGGAGGAAGCACCAGCCAGACCAGCCTCTGAGTTCCCCTTCCTATTCCCTGCCTCAACCCAGCTGCTACACGCACGTGCACACGTGTGTACGCCTACCCACACTCACACACGCGCGCGCGCACACACACGCACACACACCACGTCCCACATCCCAAGTCCAGGTCGGTGAGAAATTTTTCTTTTAGCTTCCAACACAGAGGCCAGGCCCATCTTCGTGCATGCATCGCAGGGAATGCAGCAGCGGTGATCTCCACACCAGAGCCCCCCAAGTTCCAGGAAGCTCGGAGCCCTGGGCCCTGAGCCAGGGAGACGTCCTGCACAGAGGGCCTGCCCTCTGCGGTGAGTCTTGTGGCTGTCACAGGAGTGCAGGGGGGGAGGAGATGAGGAGGGACACCTCTGGCTCCGGCTCTGCTGGGGGCTCAGCTTTGTTCCCCGCCTCCCTCCCAGGGCAGCTTCTCCCGCAGGAAATGGGGTCTCCACGGACCCGGCCTTAAGCCACATCCTCCCCCACGTGGGGTTTGTGCAGCAGGGGTGCTGCGTGGCAGTGCCCCAAACTGCAGCCCCGGGCATAGACTTTCCGCAGAGCAGCGCCTTACATTCTGTTCCGTCCTGTTTGGCCACGTGGCTCGCCCCAGGCGCTGGCTGTGCTGCCGCTCTGGGAGAGTCCAAGCCAGAGCCCCAGTCCCCGGGGGGCCACCTTCAAGGGTGGGCTGCCCCTGGGGGGCAGGGGGGACGGGCCTCCGAGAGAAGGTTGCCGCTGCTGCCAGAGCAGGGGCCACTTGTCGCCAGCAGAGGGTGGTGCTGCCTCACGTTCCACCCCGCCGAGGCCCTTTGCAGCTCCCTGGGGGCCTGGGAGGATGTCCTTTCCTGGGTCGGATGTCCTTTCCCTCGCAGGTGACCAGGAGCCGCCGGGCCAGCCCGCAAGGCCAGGAAGGCAGCAGGAACCACCAGCTGGCGCGCAGGGCTGTCTGCGGGTAACGCTCCCCGGGGCTCCTAGGAATGCGGGCCCAAACCGGAGGGTGGGATCCGGGTCCAGGCTAGACTGACATAGGTGTTCCCCCACTCCCGTCCGCTCCCCACAGAGGGAAGGCGCCCCCTTTCCACTGAGGAGCCTGTGCGGGTCTAGCCACTGGGCTTGGGGCCGTAGTGCCCGTGGGAGAGGGGGAGGTCGAGGAGAGAGGAAGCCAGAGGATACTAATGGTTTCTCTCTCTCTCCCTCTCTCTCTCTCTCTCTGTCTCTCTCTGTCTCTCTCTCTCCCTCTCCCTCTGCGGTCTGCGGGCCTAGTGTCTCGTGCTACAGAGAGAAATAGACGACCTTAAAGAGCAGCTTGGTATGAGGAACCTCGGGCCGGGGCCGGGTTGGGGCAGAGGCAGGCTGGGGGGGCTGGGTGGGGGTCCTTGGTGCCGAACCCAGGATGGGCTGCAGGTGCAGGCGGCCTCCCAGGGACCAGCATTCCTGTGGGGAGGAGGACCTGGCAGGCCTGGCCTCCGGAGCCTGCTGTGCGTGTGCAGCTGGGTGTGTGCACAAACGGGGAAGCCCTGCCTGGACTGCGTGCATGCTCTGCCGGCGCGAACAGGTCCCAGAGGTCTCCCTCTTCTAGGACGTTTGCAGATGCCTCCTTCATTTTCCCTTTAACTGCTCCTTGGTATGGCTTGCAAGGCTTGCGTGCGTGTGCGTGTTCGTGCGCGTGCGTGCGTGCACGTGTCGGCTCCGTAGGTGAACGAGTCCGATGTGCCCCAAAGCTGGAGAACTACTGGCCTCATCTTGTTCCCTTAGAGGACGTGTCCTTATGGAATTGAGGTGGTGGGTGAGGGATTCAGGCCCGGGGCTGGAGGGGTTCTCGGGTCGCAGGGCTAGGCGGTTCCCGGTGGGGAAGGGGCACGGGCTTCTCTCTCCCCGGGGCTGGAGGGCCTGCTGACGCCTGTCTCTGTTTCAGCGGCCATGCGGTCCCTGGCTGACAAGGGCCAGAGCCTCTGAAGTGAGTGTTACACACACCGCTCCCCTTCGCACGGCCGTGGCTGTCGGCAGGGCCGGGGGCTGGCCCTGGCTCGGGCTCTTCCCGGACCCTGCGCTGTCGGGCAGGCGGAGCCCAGCATCTCTGTACCAGAGGGGCAGCTGGTGCCTTGGGAGCCAGGGAGCTGTGGCCAAGCCGGTTCCCTCGTGCCCGCCCTCAGCCAAGGCTTCCTCTCCCTGTTCTTTTGCCCCCCCCGCCCCGCCCCAGTTCACAGCAGTTTCAAATTAAAGTACCTCTCAGGTCTGTGGTCTGCCCTCTCTGTGGGGTGTGGGGGGGGGGCTGGGCCGGGGGTGGGGAGGGGTGGGAGAGGGGAGGGGCGGGGCAGGGAGCTGCTCCCCGTCACAGCCTTTTCCAGAACAGGACCTCTGGGGTCATGTGGTAAGCCTTGCCCTTGTGCGGAGTGTGGCCCGGCCTGTGCTAGGAGCCCTGCCATCCCGCCCCCAGCGTGCCCCCCACCCCGCTCTGGGATCCATGTGGGCTCTGCCTGGCCGGCCACCTGAGCATGTGCTCCCTTTCCCCCCGCGGGCCCCCTTCGGTTTCTCCCCTCATCTCCCCCTCTTTTTGGGTCCCGGACTCCCCGTCCATCTCCGTTCTGCCCCCTGCCCCCTCCCCCTGCAGCAGGAACTCAGGGCCCCTTCCAGAGCTGCAGTCCCCCTTCCCTTCCCTCCTTGGGATCCCTGTCCTGCTCCTCCCCCCCCCCCCCCCGCTCTGCTCTCTGAGTGTCCTTGATCGCTCCCAGGGCTCGCCCTCGCTGGCCTTCCCTGCCCCTGTGCTTCAACCCGTGGTAAAGAGCACACTTGAGTTCCTCTTGCCCCTTCCTCCTGGGCCCGGTCCCCTCGGCGGAGTCCTTCCCTCCCTCTGGTGCCACTGCGCACAAGGACCCCTGGCCCGGAAACTGGCGCATCCTCCCCCTCTCCTCTTTAGCCCTGGGCCTTGACACTGGGATTCCAATGCCTCACTTCTCCCTCCTTGGGTTCGGTGGTGGTGGTGGTGGTGGTGGTGGCGGCGGCGGGGTGGAGGCCGAAGTCACAGCCCAGTGGGGTGCAGAGCCAGAGGGGAGGTACGGGGAACAGGGCAAAAGCACAGGTCCGTCTCTGGGCTGGAGGTGGGGGCGTCGAGGCTTGTGGGCCTCTCGGCCGCCCTGGGGCAAACTGCCCGCCAGCAGCCGGAATCGGATGGTCTAGCCGTCAGAGCTCTCCTGTCCCTCCTGTGCAAGCCGCCTCCCCCGCTCCTCCAGCCTGGTCGTCTCCGGACCCTTGGTTGGAAAGTGGCCGCCCGCTTCTATGGCAGGGGTGCGTGATGGGTCTCGATGTGCCTGCCTGGTCCCCTTCCCATGCTGTTCGGCCACCACCATGACCCAGGTTTTTCCGGAAGCGCTATTTCCGTGTCCCCGCTCCGGCTCCCTGACTGCCCCTTCAGTCCACGGGAGATCTCGTCTGGACTCCGTGTTCCGTTTCCCCCTCGCTGACGGGTGGGGATGGCTTCCTTCCTTCAGCCGGGACCCAGGGCTGTGCTGGCCTGAGACTCAGAGGGACAGATCTGGGTCTGAGTGAGGTGAGGGTCGCTTCTGCCAGACCAGACACCCTTCCCGAGAGACCGGGTGTTTCATGCACAGAGGCCGGGGCGGGGCGGTCGATGGTCCCCAGAACAGTCAAGGTTGGTGTGTGCGTCCGTTCGTCTGTTGGGTGTGTGTGTGTGTGTGAATAAAATTAATCAGGGATAATCTCCCTGGTGGGAGAGCGGTGTGAGTCAGGGAGTAAAGGGGGGGAGACTGTGGTCAAGAACCGGTAAGATACTGAATGAGCAGAAGCAAGGGGCGGATCTACCTTTCAGGGGGTGCTGTTAAATTCCTACATCAGGAGGGGAATGACGTGGAAGTCCCCAGACTCCCGGGCAGGGTGCGGGGATGCTCAGTTGGGAGCCCCCAGAGGAGGCTGTGGATCCGACTCTGTGATCCTCTGAGGTCTGGGCCCTCCCGTGTGTGTTGAAGGAAGGACAGTGGGAGGGAAGGCTGCCTCAGAGGGGCTGGGACAGGCCTCACCTTAGCAGCAGGGAGCTCGTTCGGGAGACTGCTCTGCCGGGAGCCAACGCGGATGGGGCAGGATGGGCGCGGTGAGGATGGGAAGTAGAGAGTGGCTTCCCCACGGAATATTGGGCCGACTTGGTTCCCCCCACGTCCCCCCCTTCTCAGCCTGCCTTCCTTCGGGGCCGTGTGCCATGAACTCAGGTGGCCAGACCATCCCGCACGGGGTGGGACAAGCACAGAGCTCAGCCTGGAGAAGAACATTCGTGGGACCCAATCCTTCCCCTCCAAACCCCTCACTTGAGAAGGTGGGCTTGGTTGCTGAGGCTCCGGCCTTCCCCCGGACCCTGTGGTTCTCTCTTGGCGGGGTAACATGGCGCGCTGTGGTCTGACTGAATGTGTTTGGGAGAGACCTTCAGCTGGGGTGTCCGCGGGCAGACAGGCGGGCAGGTTGTGACTGGGGGAAGTCCAGCACCCACACCCCCCAGGGACCACAGAGCCATGGTGGCCAGCGTGAGGAAGGGGAGAAGGGGACCGGGGAGGGCATGATCACAATCCTGGCTGACCAGTTTTGCTGGCCTCCCTTCCCTCCTCTGAGCACAAGATCCCCGTCGCATATTCAGACCAAGTAGCCCAAGGTCGTGTTGCTGTAAACACATACATCGCAGGCTGTGGCTGGGCACCTTCCCGTCCCAGGAGGAAGTGAGTGGAGACGGTGAGGCGCAGATTAAGGGAGGACATGTGGGTCCCCGGGGGAAGGTGGAGGTGGGTCCCCTGCCCTCCTGTAGTGTGCCCCTTTTGCCTTCCCCCTCACGCCTCCTCTCTAGCCAGGGAGGCAGTGGCGGCTGGCCTGGGGAGCCCTAGGCCCCGTCCTGCCTCGTTCTGCTGCCTGCCCAGCTCCGGGGCAGATGCCTCCCTCTCTACCACCTCCAGCTCCGGCACCAGCGCCTGCCCACCAGGGGCCAGCCTTTCTCTGCAGATGCTTGGGGGGGGTGGGCACACCCAAGGAGGGCAGGAGGAGGTGAGCCCTGGACACGGAGCTGGGCGTGGTGGGCAGAGGAATGGTCCCCAGAGGCGTCCACGTCCTAGTTCCTGGAATCCGCTGGTATGTTACCTTGCATGGCGGCGATGGGGTGAAGGTTGCAGATGTAATTCCGGTTGCTACTCAGCTGACCTTAAGGTGGGGAGACTGTCGCCCGTGTTTGCTGGGTTTGGCTGGCCCGCACGTTGGGGGTGTCAGGTGGCCATGTGAGCTGTTTCGTGCATGATCCCGGGCGCACCCTTCACATGACTGGAGGGTGCTCGGCGGCCCTGTGCTCCTGCCAGGTTGTAGTCCTGCTAAGTACCTACCAGGTAGGTAACTACCTACCAGATTTAGAGAAACTTGACAGTAAGTTGAAACCTTCCTTTTGCCCCATGCCAGTCACTTATCTCCTCAGTTTTCTTGAGATGACTGCTGTCTTGACTTTTCCACTTTCTTTTAAAGGATAACAATCGCTATTTAATAAGTAACCTTTCAAATGATAGGATAAATTACAGGAAAGTTATTGTTAACTATATTTATGAAACACCGTATGTATACACAATTTTAGAAAGCCTATAATTCAACAAATGGATAGGAAGTGATCAAGCCATGTAACTACTACCTGGCTGAGAAACAGTACATTGTACCTCCAGACGTGCCATATGTGTGGGTCCCTTTCTGTGAAGGACACCAAGTGCAAAAGTTACATACCACAGGATTCCATTTTTTAAAAAGATTTATTTGTTTATTTTAGGGGGAGAGAGAGAGAGCAGTCATGCATGAATGGGGGGAGGGTTAGCGGGAGAGAATCTTGAGTCAGACTCCCCACTGAGCTCAGAGCCTGTTGCAGGTTTGCATCCCACCGACCCATGAGATTGTTATCCGAATGGAGATAACCAAGGGGAAATCAAGAGTCAGATGCTTAACCGACTGAGCTACCCAGGCGCCCCCACAGGATTCCATTTTGGTGACATTCTCATAAAGTCCAAACCATAGGGACAGAGAACAGATCGGTTGTTGCCAGTGCCTGGGTGTTGAGAGAAGGGGTTTAACTATCAGAGCATGATGGGTTTTGGCGGGTGATGAAAATGTTTTCTAGTTTGGTTATGGTGGTGGTTCCCTAACAGTATGAGTTTGTAAGGATTCATAGACCTTGATGTAAATTCTAACTCAAATATCAAATTAAAAATTTTTTTGAAAAGTACATCATGAATGGATATTGATACTTAACTAATTATTTTTTCTGAATTCGAGGATCATAATTTTGTTTTTTACTGTCTGTATGATCTATATATTGCTCAGAGTGGGGTATTGAAATGTTGTACTATTTTTGTATTGTTGTTGGTATTTCCTCAATATATATTGAGCTCCATCTAAGTAAAACAGTAAGAAACATAAAGGAACTAATTGATAACAATATAATAATAGTAAGGACACCCCACTTACACAATGGACAGATCATCCAAACAGAACAAGAAGGAAATAATGGCTTTGAATGACACACTGGAATAGATGGATTTAACAGATATAACCAAAACATTCCATCCTAAAATGAGAATATGCATTCTTTTCAAGTGCACATGGAGCATTCTTCAGAATAGATCCCATATTAGCCCATAAAACAAACCTCAACAAATTCACAAAGATTGAAATTGTACCATGCATATCTCACGACCTCAGTGCTATGAAACTAGCAGTCAACCACAATAAAATGTCTGTATAGACAACATATACTTTGAGGTTAAATAACATACTACTAAACATGGAATGGGTCAACCAGGAAATCAATGAAGACATAAAAAATATATGAAACAAATGAAAATGAAATCACAATGGTCCAAAACCTCCGGGATGCAGCAAAAGTGGTTCTAAGGGGAAAGTTTATAGGAATATAGGCCTACCTCAAGAAGGAAGAA